TTCATATATTTTTTTATCATTGATTAAATTATTAAAAATTTTTTTTGATTTCAAAATGATTTTTCTTTTTGTATTATTGGAGACATTTGATTGGCTGTTATTTTTTTCACCAGCAATAACAGTATTCTCTTTAGAATGATTCTTTTCATTAATATTTTCTTCAGTAACAATGGTATTATCTTTAGTATCATTTGATTGATTGCTATTATTCTCATCCAAAGTAGCAGTATTTATATCACTTTTTAATTGGTTGCTATTCTCATTGGTATTATTGATTTCATTTAGGTTCTTAATTTCTTTATCATTTGATTCATCATTTATTTCATACTCAGTGATCACTAAGGAATGTCCTCTTAAGTTTATACAAACAACCTTATTTAGCACATTATGAGTAGATAAATAACTAACCATAGCTAAGCTCTCATTTACCACACTCTGTACTCCTAAGTGTACCAATCTTAAGTCATAATGAATAATATCAGTCTCTAAATAATCATGCACTGATACATAAATTGATGCATTAGGTAAATTTAATGCATTAAAGTATAATGAATTAAGAGTAGAAACATTCAAAGGAGTTTCATAATTCTTAACTTTAAATGTTTTATTTTTACTGTTAAAATCATTTACTAATTCACATTCCTTTATTTTATCAGTTGATTCATACAATCCTTTAATATGAATAGATTTATTATTTTCATTACTTGTTATAACACTTATGTTACTAAACATTAAGTATTCTTTTTTAATGGGGGATTTTACTGAATGATTAATGTGTGTTACTTTCTTAAATGATGAATAATCTATTCCTATTGTACAAAATGATAGATGAATTATGTTTAGAATAATTTTGAAAGAAAACATGGGTTAAAAATAAAATTATTTAAATATTTTTTATTAAAAATAAAAATATTATAAATTAATTCTTAAAAAAATATTTTTAATAAATAAAATAAAAAAATTCAAATAATTATTTATAATTCCCAATATTCCTATGTTTATAAGCATAAATTCTAGAAAATAAATAAATACATTTTAAAAAAATTTATAAAATATAATATTTATAGTATTTTTAAAAAAAGATTATTTAACATTTCTTAAAGTTATAAAATGAATTAAGAAAGCATTTTAAAATTTAATATTATTTTTAGTTAAATTTATAATTAAATCAAATTAAAAAATTCATTTTAAGAATTTAAAGATAGGTAACTGTATATTTAGATCCCTACTTTATTAAGTAGGGTGTTTAAGAATTCGTCATCCTTTGATATAATATTTAAAAAAATGAAATAATAATATTTTTGCCATCATGTTCTATTTATAATTTCTATTAACTTTAATAAATGTTCCTTTTAATCTATAATCTTTAATTAAATAAATGATATTCTCTGATAAGTAATGACATTATGATATGATTAATACATGATTGTTTCTGACACATGGGTTTCTTAAAAAATGACATTATGATATGATTAATAAATGATTGTTTCTGACACATAGGGTTTCTTAAAAACAATTTAAATTAATACAAACACTTCATAACATTGTTAAAAATTTAAAATAATAGACCTTCAACCTATAAAAAGTATATTAATAAAAGTTAATTCTTTGTGAAGAATTCAATAAATTTATTAGAATGGTAATAAATTAGTTCTTATTGTATTCTTTTAAAAAAGATATTCAGCGAATATTATTATGTTGCCATTGCTTTGTTAATCCATCTAGCTCTTATTTTTCGCTTCATACAGCTCCAAGTGTTTTCATAGCTGTGTATTTGCATCAGTGATAGGACAAATAAAATTTTGTTTATGATTAACAGTAGCATGAAAATATCCTAGGTCTTCAAAACTTCAATAACCACGCCATTCATCTGTTACAATTAAAGATCCTGGCAATACATTTTCAAAAGTAACCGTTTTCAAAGTATCCAAATCTTTCATTATAACTTCAACAAAAAAGTATTCTCTAGTATAAATGTTTATTCCGCCTACAACCCATTGACTCATTAAATTCATTTAACATTATATTTTCTTTTACTAAATTTGCTTTCATCAATCTCAATTACATACCCAGGTCCTCCTATTCTATCACTCAAATTTTTTTTCAAAATTATAGAAGAAAGCTTTTGTAGCTTATTTTATCATTTACTAATTACTTTATTGCCCCAAAATTCTATTTCGTGCATGATTTTCTGTTGATTTAAATCTTGAGGCCAGTAGTAAACAAAATCCAGAAGTCTTATTAAATATATTTACTGCTAAAAAATATGATCCCCTTGAAAATAGAGGCAGCAGTAGAACAGACCATGTGTTTCCCTTTGAAAGTGATCTTGTACTCTATTAATTGCATATAACCCCTTAATTTTAGGAAATTTTTTAAAGCCAGTACAACTTTTATTTCCTGCAACAATTTTATAATTTCGGCAAGATTAACTGTTTTCCCTACTAACTCTCGGTGCGTAATATTCATTGAGGCTAGTTAAAATACAAATATTTTATAACTCCATAATAGTAAAACTCTTTAAAAATTACATGATATAGACTTTAATTTATTTTGACTTTTAAATATATTTTTAAGTGCTAATTTAATATTTTGTTACAGATTAATCACCTATTATATTTGTTTTTAGAGTCCAAAATCTACTTAATTAAAGGGAGGATCCTAAATATACAATTAATCAAATTTTCCATCATCTGGATTACGAAGAGATTTTATGGTAATTATTAAGATAGGCTTCCTCACATAAGAGATTTTTTGAAAACTAAAAACATAAACAAACGAACATTTTAATTCAATGTAAAATTTCTTGACAAACTACATTTTTTAAAAATTTAAAAAAATGATACTGGTTAACCACCGCATAACTAATATTTTTGATGCTAATTAAAACTTATTGTTTTTCATTATTTTAATTTAGATTAATCTACTCCAATTATGTTTAGGATCAGAATAAAAGCATAACTAAGTTTCATTAAAAATATACATTTCATTGTCAGTAAAGAATAATTCAGAAAATATTTATTTAATAATTATTCAAACTAAAAAAGAAAAAGAATATGAAAAAATAGATTTAAAAAGTCTTGAAAGTAATGCATTATTCATTAAGAAATAATTATTGGATGGCAATATAGTATAAACTTTTTTTGGGTGCATCACTAAAATCTATAGATCCAGACACTTATGAACTCTTTTAAACATAAAAATTCCTATAAAAATTGCTCATTATTTGTGTGAAGGAGTGAAAAACACTGGAGATTGTATGCTTACTACATATAACATAATTTAATTTTTACATTAAATTCCTTTTGATTGAATATTTAAAAAGAAAAAACTTCCACTCCATTAAATGACACTTTAAAAAATAAAGAACGATACATATGTATTCTTTTTATAAACCTTGTCGTAATATTTTAAAAGGAAAACTAATATACTTGTAATGGATATTAGAATTATCATCCAATATTACATTTTTTGCCATTTTTATTTTATCATATTTAATCCTTTCATTTCGTATAAGGTTTTATACTTTTTCATATTTTGATATAAGTCGAATATTTTTTGAACTAAATTTATATTCTTTTGAGTAAATATTTTCTACCAATGATATCGCTTATTCTTTAACCATTCTAGCAAATTTTAGCACAGATTATTGAAATTAGGTTATAATATATGAGAAACATTTTTTTATATTCAAAATTGTTTCAATTTTTATCTTTAATGATATATATTGTTTGCATTGCACAAAAGAATTAAAAAGAAAAATGTATTCTTAAAAACATACATCTGAATTTAAATTAAATATTATTAATGATATCCCTTTTATCTTATAAATCTATTAAGTAATTATTTATTTTAATATTAAAAACTTGGGATCAGTATTATTATTTTGCCCCTGGGGCAGATTTTCAATACTGATTTTATTAAAGAAAAAATACAAATAAAAAGAAAACCATTTATTTAATAATATTAAATCAAGGCCTTTTTCAAGAATATTTTCTTTGTTGTTATAAAAGAATAGAAATACACGATGAAAATCTGACCTTAGCTTTGTTAAAACACCTTTTTGAATTTTTAAACCCAATTTAATGCAGTTATTAAAAGATTCAAATGTCTGTATGTTTACACTATTTAAAATGTTGATAAATTCATATTTGTGGCACACACTATCATGATTAAATCCTAATTCAAACAAACTTCTGTATGAACGGTGTTCGTCCGTCCAAATCTTAGAATTAGCAGCTACTTGCCTCGTTATTATCAGTATGATTGTAGAGCCTTTTTATTATTTATACAAGTCGCAAATGCTTTTCTTATGCCGTTGCTATATTCTATTATGCATAAAGCGTCTGTTCAGTTGTCTGGAGATCTTCCTCTGTGGCTTTTACTTTTAAAGTTAAGCATTTTTCGTCTATCTGAACCACAACGCCGGGTCCTTCAAGCTTATTGGATTAAATCAGTTTCGGGGATAAATGATCTAAATTCTTTTATTATTTTCTGTAGTTTCGACTTCTTACTCCCGAAGTACTCAAATATTGCGAATCGTTGAGTTTTAGTGACATATTTTATTATTAACCCTATAATAAATAGCAAATCACAAGTAAAATTCTGAAAAAACGAACCCAATATAATCGATTTTTATGTTTTGTAGCCAGAGCAATTACTAGTGTAGCATCTCCAAGTCTTTTTATCCTTATTTTGATTATAATTAACTAATTTCATGTTCTGATTACACTTGCAACAAACAATCTCTTTATCAAAAAACCATTTTGCATTAGAAAAAGAATAAATTTTGTCCTTTCCATCTTTATTATTATTATTTCTATCTCGTTTGCTTTTAAATTCATTAAGGTAAAATTTAAATTAATTTAAATAATATTTTTATTCAACATTTATTCTAGGGCGAATTTCTAATATTGATCTTATCAGGGGCGAATTTTCAATACTGATCCAAAACTTGGAAAATATCTATAGAATTAATTATACACTTCTAACTGCATCAAGGGGACATAGCTCAGTTGGTAGAGCGCTTGATTTGCATTCAAGAGGCCGAGGGTTCGATTCCTTCTGTCTCCATTTTATGTAAATATTTTTATTCATTTCTAAAAATATTTACTTCTAATATATAATTAATTATTTCAATTAAAAACAGAATCTTATTTTAATTAATCAGTTTTAATTCAAATTGTGTTTAAGGGTGTTATAATTGATAGTTGTTAAGTTTGTTGGTTAACAATGGTTTTTTAGAAAAATTAATCTCATAAAAAAATTCTGACTTGTTTTATATATTTTCAATATAAATAAATAATAAATTTACTCATATTATTATTTATTGTGATGTGTTATGTTATTACATATTTAAATTTAATATAATATTTTGTTATATCATTTTAAAATACAACTATTAAATTAATTAATATGTTAAAAATATTGTATCATTCAATTTAATCTTTTCTTAATTCATGGTAGTATCTTTTATAACCATCTTCCTTAATAACAACCAATTCCAAAAGATCTCCCGTTCTAACATCTCTTTCTGATGCTGACTCAAATAATGATTTAATTACTTTCATAACATCCTCTTCATTCATTTGATCTATTTTATCATCATATGTATCCAATATTGGTTGGATTATTGATGCTGATGTTCCATTACATTTGACATTAACACTATCATAGGATCCTACTGGATCATAAGCATAAACCATTGGTTTTTTACTTTCTTTGTCAAATCCACAAATTATACAGTAAGAATAATGAGGAAAGAATCTTTTGTTATAAAGTGTATTAAAATTTAAATGAGCTAATTGAGCAATATTCATCTCTTTATTGGAAAGCATTTCGTATACCTTAACATTATAATTTAACTTAACTGATACCTCGTAAGAATCGGCATAGAAACCTGTGGTTGCCAAGAAATAATCCTTGATTTTAAATATCTTTGAGGTATTACGAGAATTAATTGTGTACTCTGAAGTATGACGCATATCACTGGCTATTATTATAAAATTTTTGCCTTTAATGGCCATAGAAGTACCTGAATTACATGAGTATGGATTGAATTCGTTGCTTTCATGCTTTTTAAAGGTTTTAATTTCTAATTGCATAGGTAAACAAAAAAAAATATTTTAATATTTAAAATAATTATATTAAATTAATATTTTAATATTTGAACTTTTAACTAATTTACATATTTTAACATTTAATAAAATATTTTAATTAAAATTAAAATAAGAGAATAAAACATAAAAATAAATTAGGTTATATTTAATTTTGATTTTATTATTAAATATGGATTAGAATTTTATATGATAATTTTTGCATAAAAAAGAATAAAATCACAACAAGAATAATTATTTTGTCAAAGATTTTTTAATATCCTTGTAACTACAAAAATTTTTTTAATAAAAACATATGTTTTTTTACGAGGATTATTTAAGTTATATGTAAAAGTAAAACATACCTCAAATAATACAGATAATTGCTAATGTTGCGTAATATTCTACCAGAAATTAAATTATTTTTTTGATATATTTAATCATCGGAATATTTAATTTATAGAGGTTTAAGTAGATGACTGCTTTAGATGGTAACTTAAAAATTATCATTTGCTTATTTGCATCAGAAAAAGCATAGAAAGCAAAAATAATTTGGATGGTTATAAAATAATTGGATGAAGGCTTTTTTACATCCTTTGAAGCATATAAAAGACCTTTTCCATTTTTAAGTTGGCAAAAAAATTTGATAAATTGTTATAAATAAATAAATACTTTAAGATTTTTTCCCGAAATAAATCATTAGAAAAATATACAAGCCGTTTAGAGACACTTCTACAAATCATAATATTTTTAAAAGATTATTTTGTTCATTCGAGAAATTTTAATGCGTTGAAAAAGAACCTCATTATGACTATATAAAATTCTTATATAGGCTACAAGTAAAATGAATATAGTCAAATGAGCGTAAGCTGCTTTGCGCACAAAATTCGTCACTATAAATCATAGATCCATGTTATAGATTTGTTAAAATATAATTATAATCGTATTAGGATCTTTACTTTAATTAACTTTCACTATTTCTTTAGCCAATGTAAAGATATTATCAACGATACGAAACACATAAAATGATCTCGGGATGTTTTGTCTGATTTGATTTTACTACATAATTAAGTATATTTTTAACAGTTTCACTATTATTCCATGAACAACTTAAATTGTGGAGTTAGACTCCAATACAGCGCATATTTTTTACATAAAAATATTTGTAATTTTAACGAAATATCTAATAAAAGGCTTGTAGATTCTATGATTTACCACAAGAAAGTTTCCATATATAATAGTTATATAAAATAAATGAACATTTGAGGTAAATGTTATAATTAATTAGAAAGTTTTTTA